ATAACACTCTGTGATAGTTTAGATGAAATGAAATAGTTTACAGAAATTACACTTTCTTGCACAGTATCAGGTACAATTAAAGGAACATTAAGGTGTCAGGCATACAAACATGTATTCCTAACACTATAGTGTTTGACTATTTAGGTCCACATAACTCCTTAGATTGCACTTGAAAGGTGATTTTATTTGCCTTTCCTCACACACCATTCTTGATGATCTCTGCCAATCCAATCCTTTTTCCATAGGAAAGAATTGGGATGTTATAGCGCATGCATGACAAAACGCAGTGCTGTTCCAATCAGTATCCCTTCATAGAAATGCATTGAATCACTCCATCTCCATTTCCATGCAGAGAGTGGAGATGCAGAACGCCAGTGCATGAGGCACAACAGCTGCCAACACTGTGCAGAACTGCACTAGGAAACACCTCTAGTGGCCATCTGAGTAACTGCAGATTGGGGTATTACTAGGCAACAATGTAAACACTGTCTTTTTTTTCTAAATAGCAGCCTTCACAGTGCTCAACCTGCAGGGGCAGGCTTTAGACACCAGAACCACACATTAAGCTGTAGTGGTTCTGGTGACTATGCTGCCCCTTAAGGCACAGCACAGTAAAATGACACAAATAGCTGCTGGAAATAATCTATAACTATAACATTATAAAAATCAGATTCAATGGTTACCAGGCAGAGTTTGGTACGTCATATGCTTGATCTAACATTCGTGTCTGCTCCTGAAATTACTTCCATTTGAATAAGTGGGCAAGCAGCATATGAAATAATGAATCAGGGCACTGAAAAGCTATAAATTGTCAAACTAAATAAAAAAAGGAAACATCATTGGGTACAAATTCTGCCTCAATCAGAGAAGCATGGTTGGGCTAGACTGTGGATTGAGCCAAGTGTTTTAGAATATGGTAATAAATTAGCTGGCTGAATGCAGAAGCCAAGTCCATGTGATATGTATAGGAACTGTCTCTGCTGTAACCGATTGAATGATGTTTACCACTCAGCCAGGCACGACTGCAAATGTACCGACAGAAATTGGCATGCTCAATGAAGCTGGACAAAAATAACATGTTACTCAGACAACAAAAAGCTCTAATTTGCAATTGGACAGCACCACTGTGAAGCAGACACTGCTCATTATACACCATACTTTTAAAATAGCTTTCACTTTTTTTTATTAAACCAACAAATTTAGCCGTACGGGACTTGAAATTAGCTAAGAAATGGAAAATTACAATCATTGATGATTGTGATAATAAACTAGTTTCCCCAAATCATGGCAGCATAAGATTTATATAAACCAACTGTTTCCCATGCATCCTATGTCTATGGTTAATATATCACAGTCTATCCTATGTCTGTGGTTAATAAATCACAGTCTATCCTATGTCTGTGGTTAATACATCACAGTCTATCCTATGTCTGTGGTTAATACATCACATCACATTTTACCATCAGTTATGCACAGGAAAATTACCCAAAGGGCCCATTAAACCAAAAAGTATTAAAGGAACACTATACAAAACTCTATTCCTAACACTAAAATGTTCCTCTGCCTCTCCCTCCCTTGTGCCCCACCACCAACCTTGCAGCACTGAAAATAGTTACATAACCTCTCCTCTTTCATTTACTTTATTCCAGTGCCGAAGTCCTCACTGCTGGCTCTGTCTCCACCCAGTCCGATGTTAGCACGAAGGAGAAATGTAATGTGCATGGACAGTCTAGCACCATGCAAATTAGGCCTTCCCCATAGGAAACGTGAAATGAAAGCTTTTCAACAGGGATTTTGAGAACGCTGGACTTCCTCATGCAAAACGTGAGGACGTCCAGCAACAGGAAGCATTTCTAGTGGCTGTCTGGTGGACATCGACTAGAGGCAGTCTTAACATGCAACATAAACTACAATGTTTACATTTAAGGTGAACAAGGACATTAAATCCAGACCACTGCAATGACATGAAGTGGTCTGGGTGCCTATAGCGTCCCTTTAAGGTATAAGGTAATTAAGGATGGTGGAGTGTTGGAAATTAATATAGAATAAGACAGAAATTCAGTTAAGTGTAGAATTTTTGAAAATTTATTTGTATAATTGTAACTTACCTTTAGAAGCTACTCACAATTTCTTATGAATCCAATAAAGGAACTACAAAGGCAAAAGTTCCCTATCTTTTTTTTTTTTTTTTTTAATTCTCTATTTTTGCTTTGACAACCGGCAGAAAATGTAACAATAATAATAGGACATAAACAGAACATTTATTTTGTATGCCTTGCGTCTCAACATTACATCGAAGTATATTTGACATGGTATTTTGTCCACTGAAATGTTGACATAATAAATATTGTCTATGTCTCTGTGCTTGCTCATGTGTACGTGCTGCCAAAGAGATTTTTGTATAAACAATAACAAAAAATGTATAACTTTAACCCCTTAAGGACTGAGCCAAATGTACACGTTGTGAACGAAACAAAATGTAAACAAAACCTGGCATTTGCGCTACATGTCTGTCCAACCATAATTCACCTCTTTCATATTAAATGCACCCACCCTTATTATATATCATTTTATTCAGGGGAAATAGGGCTTTCATTTAATATCAAATATTTAGCTATGAAACATAATTTAATATGAAACAAATGGGAGAAAATCAGAATTTTTTAATTTTTTTTAATTCTACATGACCTTTCAACTGCAATAAAATACACATATTTGTATTCAGCAAAGTCTCACGTGTAAAACAGTACCCCCTATGTACAGGTGTTATGGCATTTTGGGAAGTTACAGGGTCATATATAGCACGTTACATTTGAAATTGAAATTCGCCAGATTGGTTACGTTGCCTTTGGGACTTTATAGTAGCCCAGGAATGAAATTTACACCCATAATGGCATACCATTTGCAATAGTAGACAACCCAAGGTATTGCAAATGGGGTATGTCCAGTCTTTTTTAGTAGCCATTTGGTCACAAACACTGGCCAAAGTTAGCGTTAGTATTTGTTTGTGTGTGAAAAATGCAAAAAACGCCAATTTTGGCCAGTGTTTGTGACTAAGTGGCTACTAAAAAAGACTGGACTTACCCCATTTGCAATACCTAGGGTTGTCTACTATTGTAAATGGTATGCTGTTATATGGGTAATTTTCATTCTTGGGCTACCATAGGGTCTCAAAGGCAATGTAACCAATCTGGCCTTATATTTGACACTGTAACTTTTGAAAACACCATAAACACCATAAAACCTGTACATGAGGGGTACTGTTGTACTCGGGAGACTTCGCTGAACACAAATATTTGTGTTTCAAAACAGTAAAAAGTATTGCAGCAATAATATCGTCCGTGTAAGTGCTGTTTGTGTGTGAAAAATGCAAAAAAATTAACTTTTACTGGCGATATCATCGTTGTACAGGTTTTATGGTGTCTTGGAAAGGTATAGGGTTAAATATAGTGCTAGCAAATTCAATTCCCTTTACTTTCGGCATGGGTTGTCAGGCAGGTCCCGCTAATTGTAATTAATTAAAATACCTAATTATGTAAAAATATTACATAAATATATATGTAGAATTAATATATGTATATATATATATATATATATATATATATATATGTATGTATGTGAAAATATATGTGTATATATATATATAATATTTTTAAAATATTTTTATTTATATATATTATATAGATATATATATTATTTCGTTCTACGTGTATTTTGATATAAATTTATATATATTAATATCACAATACAGTTAGAACGAAATAACACACATCTATATATTTTTTAATAATTTTTTTTAAATTATTTTTTTAATTTTATTTTTTAACGTATTTACATATTTAATTTTTTTATATTATATATAAATATATATAACAATAATTATATATATATTTAATCAATATCAGTCTACGTGTAATTTGATATTAATATATATATATAATTATATATATATTAATAGTAAAATACACCTAAACAGTGTATGTGTGTGTATGTATATGTGTATATATATATACACTTAGATCATATATATATAATATATATATTTTTTTACACTTTATTAATTTAATTTAATTTACATCCAGCAGGGGGACTACCTCTAATTACAGGCAGCCCCCCTGCTGGCAATACAGCAGCCAGCTATCCCGGCCATGTGATTGTGAGGTCCTCGCAAGGACCTCACTCTCACATGGCCGGGCGGGCTGCCAGGAGGAAGATCTGCCACGGGGGGGCTCCCTGGGAGTCCCCCCAACCGCGATCGCCGGCGTGGGACCGCCGGCAACCGGGTAAGTAATGAAAGACCGGAGGGCGTACTATTATGCCCTATTTTAGGCGGCTCTAAATGCCAGTCTTAAGGGGTTAACGCTGTCGGGCAGCTATCGCAATGTACGAGAGAAACGTAAAATTAACTATTCACCTTGTTAGGAGATTCCAGCCCCATGAGAGCTGTGCTCTTCTCGCCTCTTTGGAACGTAGAGTGTGAAAGAAGATAAAATGGAAAATGAGACAAGAAGTAAGGAAAATGCAAGAATAAAGTCGTCGACAAGAAAGCAAAATTAATTGAATTTTTAACTTAGGGTCCAGAGTGGGAAGTTTGTTGACTATGACCAGGGAATGGGTTTGCTCTATTCAGTGAGAAGAGGTCACTAAATAAAAAAGAAGAGATAGAAGGGCTGTCTCTCAAAACGAAGGAGCAGTGACCTGTCTCCGTTAACATTTCCCTATCTTAAGACCCCCCAAAAGGTTGCCCATCAAGTAGTAACAAATTTTCTCTCATATGTCTAATAATGTGTTAAAATCTTTAATGACACTTCATGCACAGAAGACAATCAGTAGAGCCAGACAGGGAATAAAATAACTGGCTTGGAGATCATTTTGTACCAGCCCCTTATTCCATTGTGCCAAAAGAGTGTGTACAATGTACATGTATATTGCTGCCTTATAGTGCATTGCCATAACCATCTACACTAACCAGCCACATAATTAAAACCACTGACAGGTGAATAACATTTATTATATCATTACAATGGCATCTGGGGTGAGGTATATTATACAGCAAATGAACGGTCAGTTTTTGAATTCCATGAAAGCAGGAAGAAAGGGAAGAAACAGAAAAGATCTAAGTGACTTTGACAGGGGCCAAATAGTGATGATTGACGACTGAGTCAGAGCATCTGCAAAAGAGCAAATCTTGTAGGTAGTTGCAGGTGTACAGTGGTTATGGGTAGTATCTACCAAAAGTCATGCAAGGAAGGACAACCTGTGACCAGGCATCAGGGTCATGGGCGCTCAATGCTCAATTCTAAATGTGGGGAACAAAGGCTAGTCCATCTGGTCCAATCACACAGTAGAGCTACACTAGCTTACGTTGCTGAAAAATTAAATGCTGGCCATGATAGAGAGATGCCAGAATACACAGTGCATCACAGTTTGTTGCATAAGGGGCTGCAAAGTCGTAGACTGGTCAGAGCGTCCATGATGACCTCTGTCCGACACTGATAGCACCTTCAATGGGGATGAGAACATCAGAACTGGACCATGGAACAATGGATGAAGGTTGTCTGATCTAAAGAATCATGTTTTCTTTTATGCCTGTGAATTGTTTACCTGGGGAAGAGATGTCAGCAGGATGCACTATGGGAAGAAGGAAAACTGGCAGAGGCAATGTTAGGCTCTGGACAATGTTCTGCTGGGAAACTTAGGGCCCTGGCATTTATGTGGATGTTACTTTGACATGTACCACCTAACTAGAGATTGCTGCTGACTATGTACATCCATTCATGGCAATAGTGTTCTCTAATGACAGTGGCATCTTTCAGCAGGATAGTGCACCCTGCCACACTGCAAAAAATGTTCAGGAATGGTTTGAGAAACCATACAAAGAGGTCCAGGTGTTGCCTTGGCCTCCATACTGCCCAGGTTTCAATCCAATTGGTCATCTGTGAGATCTGCTGGAATAACAAGCCCAATCCATGAACACCCCACCTGAGAAGTTGCAGCACTTAAAGAATCTGCTGCTAATGTCTTGGGGCCAGATACTACAGAACACATTTGGAGGTCTTGTGGAGTCCATGCCTCAATGCATCAGTGCTGTTTTGACAGCACAAAGGGAACCTACAGTAGGTTGTGCAGACTCTTTCATAGCACTCTATAAGAGAGCATGTACAATTCACGCAGAACAATTCCCAGTTAAGTGTGTAAACTGAATACGGTAACATTGAACTGTTCTATACATGAAAACACCTGCTGCTTAACTGGGAAAGGTGTAATCCTTTGCTCCTTCCATTGTAAAAGGCACCGATAAATGCTGATATCCTAACTATCAAACTTTGTAACTTAGTAAGGTACCACTTGAATAAATAGAAAATGGCTAAGAAAATATGTGTGTGCCATGACAATTAATAAATATGTATACATTTAATACACCAATTTCTGTTTTTCATATAACAGGGATCCCATCCATTTTATTATCTTGTTGCAAGAACTTAGTTAGTACTTAATTTGATTTGTAATATTTAATATGCTAATTTTTTGACAAGTAAAATATGTAGAAATCGCAAATACAAGAGCTTGTCTTTGGTGTCTATATTCATATTTAAAGGAAAGATGTATTAGCATTTTCAGTAGAGTAGAATTAGCACAAAGTGAACTTTGGGATAAGATATGAAATTATTGGTGGGGGAGTGTGAATAAATTAATTTTATGAACCTGCACTTATTACCAAGTGCCAGAATGATGACACAGTTCCAATCAGCTCCAGCAGGTGGCGTGTGCCATCCCCACTCTAAGACACTACTAGCAGTATTCAGACGGAAGGGAAGGACTCCCAAACGGTGCTCAGCACCTCTGCCGTGCAGGAAGCGTCCACATCCCCGTGCTAACCTGTGCAAACAGCTGGAGGTGGGACAGCCCTAGCCAGGGGAGGAGGAGTCCGCACCCTGCAAGTGTAGAGAGACTTACTACAGATAAGAAGATTGTAACCTATCGATGGCCAATTCCCTTTAACCTGTAATGTGCATGATCGGTCCAGCCCTCACCTCTCAGATCAGCTGCTCTCCTTCCACTGAGTGAGCCCCCCATCCCTGTCTTCCCTTTGCTGCTGGCTATATCCAACCCTTGGACCCAAGGAGGCGCCTATATGATTATACGGTTGGTGCATCTGGATTCCCCTTCTTCCTGCTCTGTTTGCACCCTTAGAGGTGACTGCAAGGTGTGGTGCTGGTGGTGGGTAGGAAAGGAGGGACGGACACAGGGAGTGAGGGTGTACATAGGTAACAGGGAGGACAGGCTGGGGTTATGTTCACACAGATGATCTCTCTTGCAGTCCAGCTGGTGTACACTGACATGTTTTAATCCCAGCGAGTAGGGAGGGGGAGGAGGACTGAGCAGGGATAGGTTGGCAGGAGCAAGATGTGGGTGGTATGCTCTGTTTTGTAAGGAGCACTGAGATTGCAGCATGGTTATCAGCCACACGTTTCGGTCTCCCATGTGTAGGATGTATTCACCGGGAGAGGGGGTCAGTCAGTTCCTCATATACCATTTATGTGTTGTACACCTACACTGCTAACCTACCTGGTGAACCTTCATACTATACACCGGGAGCACTGTGACACTCATACAGAATGATACAGTGATTCATGGTATCTCTGTGTTCTAGAATGTTTGCTGTTACAGTTGCAGGACATATGTGGTTCTTTGGGGGGGGGGTGCATTACGCCCAGAGGGGATATTTTTTGTAATGTGTTTTTGTTATTGGAAGTGTGAACAGTAAATGATCTGTTTATGAGGCTGGATAGGGGTGTAGTTTCAGAAAAGCAAAATGACAATAAGTAAAACCCGCAGAAAAAAACACTTAACACATCTGTCTGGTTAGTGTTGCTTCCGGTTTCATGGCGTGGCTATAAGCAGTTGCTGGTAAAAAAAAAAAAAACACGAACAAAAAAAAATCATAACTTCTCCATTTCCACGCCCTCTGTACAGGAAGCAAGCTTTCTTTTGAATGTAACAAACCACAAGACATGAAGTGCTTTATGTTATGCATATCACAAGAGACACCTTGTTCTCCTATTAATGGACCACTAGGGTCTCTTGCACAATTCCAGAGACTAGGTGATAAGCATTTGCTCTATAGGTTATAGTGTTAAACTAGTATACTAGACTGGTATAATATGTTATAAGGAAAAACAAACATACTGGTGTAACGTTTTAATGGTTAGATGGTAATTGAAACTGCTTAAAAGTTTTATTTGAATGACCAGGATGTCATTTTAAACTGGTACATTGGAGTTTATATAATATTATTGAATCTGATGTTAATCAGCCGTTTCAATCTCAGACCACTATGTTTTCTAGATTTTTAAAATTAACTCTATTTGGATTACTTTTGTATATTTTATATCTCATGAGCAGTGTGGGCTGAGATTTCTTTTGAAGTCTGTCACAGAATTGTTTACTATCATAATCACCTGTGTATCTTGTTAATGAATCATTTGCTCAAATTGGAACGTATACGCCCACATAGCAGCATGTCTAACAGAACATTTTATAAGTAGGTGGATGTATTGTGGGTTTTATTTTATTTTTTTACATATTGTAATGGCACAATAAAGTTATATGTAATATTAGCACATGACTACTGATACTTGTGGAAGGTTGGATCAGTGTGTACATAAAATTGTTCAGAGCTGGTGGTGTCAAACCATCTGTAAAGATTTCAGGCCTTGTCCTTAGACTTTCTTCCAGTCACCTTGCTTAGTGCAGATTCTATCATGTGGAATTGCACAATAGCCACTAATACATAAGGTCACATTGTTGGGACTATTGGGTTGGTGCCAGTAGATATATACTGTACTTACAAAAAATATGCACCTTGTTAAAGGACCACTAGAGTGCCCTGAGGGTGCCCCCACCCTCAGGGACCCCCTCCCGCCGGGCTTGATGGCGAGGAAAGGGTTAAAACGTACCTTTATTCCAGCGCCGGGCGGGGAGCTCTCCTCCTCCTCTCCTCCCCTTCAGCTGAATGCGCATGCGCAGCAGGAGCTGCGTGCGCATTCAGCCAGTCTCATAGGAAAGCATTCACAATGCTTTCCTATGGACGCTGGCGACTTCTCACTGTGATTTTTCACAGTGAGAAGCATGCAAACGCCTCTAGCGGCTGTCAATGAGAGAGCCTTTAGAGGCTGTATTAACCCATTTATAGAAACTGCTATATATATATATATATATATATATATATATATATATATATATATATATATATATATATATATGGGGGTTAACCCTAGCTGGACCTGGCACCCAGACCACTGCATTAAGTTGAAGTGGTCTGGGTGCCTAGAGTGGTCCTTTAGCTTCATTCTTTATAAAATATTTCAATCAAAAGCTTTCCCTTTTGCATTTTGGTATGTGCATATTGTGTGTTCAGTGGCTCAAGGTAGCATTAGCACTCTAAAAGTTTACTAAGGATAGGTACGATTTTTTTTTAAATAGGAGCCTTGTGTCTGCAGTGGGAATTTTGGGGGAAACCATTTTAGAAAATACATTTGTCATGTAAAAAAAATTTTCTGAAAAAATTTATAAACACTGAAATGTTTGTTTGCAAAGTGTATGTTTTCCATATCCACAAGAAACAGTTGCATACACATTTACTTAAATGTTATTTTGCTAGAAAAAAAAATATAGTAAATTTGTGAAATAGGTGTTTTCAGGTGTTTGCACCTCTTTGCTGATAATAGATGCAAGTAAACAGATACATTTAAATGAACACTATAGGCACCCAGACCACTGAAGTGGTTTGGGTGCAATGTCCCTGTCCTCTTAACCCTGCAATGTTAATTATTGCAGTTTCACACTGCAATACTGTATTTACATGAGGTTTGAATGTTGCATTCTTAATGATACATAATATAAATAAACACAAGACAACTTCTTTTATCCAACTTGTTTATTCAATACTCCAATATTGCACCTTGGAGAATGGCCGTGAACCTTTATTACGGATTTCATAATTCCACTTTAAACATAAAACCATAATTTTAAAATCAAACCGAAATATTAACCATTAAAACTTTCCACCATTAAAACTTTCCAACTTTCCAAGGCTCCGCCCCCCACCAAAGCCAGGAGCCATAAATATATCATAAAACCAATTTTATAAACCAAATCCACCCTCCTGTGATGCCCAGGAGGGTGACTTATATCCCAACGCCACTGAGGTAATGGGATACCAAACACGGTGGCCCCCCACCGCCCACAGCCATCTCCAACATAAAGTGAACACTTACCTTAAATATATATCCACACCAACATCGGACAAATGAAATGCGCATTCCTATATAAACCTGTGCAACTGCCCTCAATAACTATGAGTCTTTTAAAAAGACAACCAAAGCTGCAAAACCTTTCTAACGCTCTATTTAAGCGGTTTAACCTTATTTTCATCCAGCATTGCTTTGGTATAATTTCCGACCAAATAAATTGAACATCTAGAATTTTTTTTTTGCCACAAAAACCTTACCCTTCTTAATTACTTACCACAAATTGACTGATTTTATTGACCCAATGTTGTTTCCTCCCAGATGAACCACTACCACAACTGGGTAAGGAAAAACTAGGTAAATTGTTGCAATAACTCAAATAAATGTGACCATTTCACACCACGAATACCAAAATATTTTAACCATTGTGCTTCCAAACCAAGATTTTTCACCATATGTTCGCTCTTGCGCTCTCTTCTGGGCCCATACCATAAACGAATAACCAATGACCCAGGCAAATGCCGGCTTCTTAAGACCTAACAAAAGAAAAATTATTAGTATATGTACTAATTTCCATAAAACCCATAACTTTCATAAATACCAAGTAACCATTTACCAATAGAATATTTCATTTATTTATTATCGAATGAAGCCTGACACATAATTGAAATTGTTAGAGTCCCGGCTTCCCAACGTTTGACTGATTCCATCATTTCAACCACACCTTGCCGCTTTGTTTGCAGCTCCAATTCTAAAAGAACAAGATGAGTAACACTCCTTGTCCAACCAAATTATATTTTTTTTTATTTTTTTATAAAACCTTTATGAATTGAAATTAAGTTAAAGAATTAAATCAGCATACATAAAATGGGCCCTTTACTCATAGCCTTACTGATAACTGTTCTTCTGTTACTTTACAGGGCACAAAATAAACTTTAATATTAAACAATGTCAACCATATGTCGTTTTCTTCTTGAACCGTTTAGGTTTTCTAATAGATATCAATACTCTCTTATTGTGCACCATAACATCCTCAGACAGCACACCCGATAAACAAAATTTACTCCTCGTAACCAACTCACCAATCCTACACTTGAAAACTGATATAAACGGGCATCTAAATAACTCAAAGAAGAATAATATACGACTTTAAAATCTTCCGATAACTGTGCCAAACCCGAAAATGAATTCGGTTTTCTATTATCCCTTACCTGACAAACTCTCCTACCACCTTTAACTAGCTGAACTATGAAATACTGTTTTGATTGGTTTACCATCACATAGCTTCAGAAGAAATCCACCTTTGCTAAATCACTTGTAACTTTGATTTAGAAAAGCCCTTTCTGCATTACATGAACTATAAATTGCACTGCACTCTCCTTATCCTCTTCTAATGGAATTTTCCCATTTACTTTTAAAATTCACTGCTCATTCCATGCCCTTAACTTAAGACAGCAAAACTGAAGCTGCCACTAAATTAACACTTAACTGTCCCAAACTATACCCAAAGGTCTGATGAAAATTCGATTCCTTTCGTTTCCCGAAACTTTAATTTTAAACTTGAGAGAGCATCAACCAGCCTATTCATTTTCTTGGTTTATGCCCGACTTTGCGTATTTTTTTATTTTTTATTATTTTTTTTTTTTAGGTATTGAATTGCAGATACCTTAAAAACCAAATGTCTCAGCAAATTAACTACCCTTTAACACCAAAGACTGTAAGGAATTGAGTACGATAACTACACTCAAATTATCAAATATATAGCAATCAATCGTCTACCTTTCCATACCCTCCCATAAGTATGGCTGCTACAATGGGGAATATATCCAAACACGTTAAATTATTTGTTAAACCTTCTTGTTGGCCATTCTTGAGAACTCCCCTGTCCTTCCCAATGTGTACCGAAAACAATGCACCTGCTGCATCAGTTAACAGCTCCAAATTATTAAATCTGTAAACTCCTTCTGTCACATTGATCCCCCATTAACTTTACAAGATTTTTTGTTAAATTAATTTTTTAATACTTTAAGTCATGTTTTAATTCTCTTGTTATTCCATTGTGAGCAGAGGGGGTTGGAGGGTCAGTGTTTGCCTTAGTTATACCGATTTTCTTGGAAAAATGCTCTCCCCATTAGGATAACCCTTGATGCAAATACAACAAACCTAAGAGTGATTGCAGCACCTTAAAGTTACTTTTCCACAGCCCCGTTACCTGTTGAATCAGCATCCTCATCTTCTTAATCCTATCCTCCGGCAACCTAAATTCCATATTTCTTTTCTCTCTTTTTTTTTTTTATTTTTTTTTTAATTAATTTATTTTTATCAGGAATTGTAGACAAGTAAATAATTGGATAAAATCCTCTTTTCTGCTGCTAAAAGAATACGTAAATTAGAAGTCACCTTTTGAAAAATTTCTAACAGGCTCTTACAGTTGCCACTCTCTTTGGAGCCCACAATAAAATCATCAAATAGTGCACTATTTTTCTCTGACCAGGCTTGCAACATCTCAAATAACTCAAAGTAAGAACATGCAAGCACACGAAAAACTGGTAAGCACCTGCCGAAAATACGTCCTTCAAATTGAAAATTTACGAATTAAATGACTCTGGATAAATTGGTCAGAGTTAAAAGCAGCTATAATACTGACTCTTCCCACATTCTTTTACCAAATTTAAAACTTATCAAAAGTTGAATATGACACTGAACTATCCTCCTTTAGAATCACGTCATTTAAAGATTCTCACTTAAAGTATGATAAGTGGTGTATCAATCTGAATGACCCTGGCTCCTTCTTTGGAACTAAACCCACGGAGATACTAAAATTTGCAAGGATGAACAGAGAAAGGACTTTCAATCCTGCCTAGCTTAAACTGTTTACAAATCTTTACCTACGCTATATATTTGGCAACTCTAAATGTATTTGTAACTTTTAAATATATACAGGTAACCGGAAACCAACATCTTCAAACTTTGTCTTCTCCAATTTTAATACTATCTAGAAAATGCAGTAATCTTCGCAGCCTCACTGAGGTCTGTGCTTTAAAATGTACTGCTTTGCTGGCCTCTTTTAAAACAACGAAAATTACTGTGTGCACCTGAAGAGGTAGCACATTCCTGACGGTATCTACATTTATTTAAACACTTATACTGAGATTCATCAAAAGCCAAACCCGTGTTTTTTTTTTTTTTTTTATGTTATATTTGTACTAACCTACCTTTTAGCATAAACTAGCTGTCTCTAAGGTAACTCCATGCTCACGCATAGCCTTCTTTTTCATTCCATTTTTATGTTACTCTGAACCGCTGTCAGGGTACCTGTTGGTGATGTATCCAGGGAGGACATCCTCTCTGCTTAGGGGTTCCCTTCCCCTAGCATTTCGGCATATTTCGGCCGTTTTCGCGCCGGCCGCGCTAGCTCCTCCCCCTTTTATGACGCGACGGCTAGCGTCGACGTCATGACGTCGGCATTTGCATAAAGTGCCGGGAACCGCTATTCCGGACCTTTTGGGGGCGTGGTCTCTATTTAGGTAACAGGGTATTTAAAGGAAACCTTTACTACTGCTCATTGCCCTGTCGTGGTTCTAGCTTGCTAGTCACTCAGCGCGTTCTTTATCTTGTGTTTCCGGTTTTGACCCTTGCTTGTCTTTTGTCCTGTTGTCCTCTCCTCTCCTTTGACTCGGCTTGTATCTCGCTTACCTGTCCTCCGGCTCCCTTGACCTCGGCTTACCTTTTGACTATTCTTGCTTTGTCCTTACGTTAGTCCGGCCATTCTAAGGTCCGGTATACGTACCTCCTTCTGTGCGCACTCTGCGTATTGGATCCCTGTCAGTTTCCTGACATTACGACAGGGCCATGATGGATCCTGCAGGTGCTAGTCCTCCTGACCCCAGATTTGAGGCCATGGACCATAGAATGGACCAAATGGCTTTAGCGTTACAAACTTTGTTGACACGCTCCAGTACCCAGTCTGAAGAAATACGTTCCACTGCTAGCCACTCGCTAAGTACTGGTTTGGAAGTAGCCACTGTAGGCGCATCTTCCCATGTCACGTCACCATTACGATATGGGGGTTCGCCTGATGCTTGTCGTGGTTTTTTAAACCAGATAAGTATACATTTCGAACTACAACCCCGGGCTTACCCCACTGACAGGGCTAAGGTAGGCTTTATTATAACCCTGCTAATAGATAAAGCACTTAGATGGGCCAATCCCCTTTGGGAGAATGACAATCCTTTAGTCTACAACTACACTGCGTTTGTCACGGCTTTTAGAAGAACCTTTGACCCCCCAGGGAGGAAGATTAATGCGGCCAGATCCCTGTTACGCCTTAAACAACAAGATAGGACCCTTGTAGAATATGCTCTAGAGTTTAGATCATTGGCAGCAGAAGTGAAATGGAACGAACAAGCTTTTATGGATGTTTTCTTGAATGGGTTGTCTGATGAAATTCTAGATGAAATTGCCACAAGAGAACTTCCGGAAAATTTAGAGGATTTAGTATCCTTCATTTCCAGAATAGATGAACGCATGAGACAGAGGCAGAACACTCGGGAAAGAGTTACTAGACTTCCTGTAAGACTCGCTCCCTCATTTCAGAACCCTGACTCCTATAATCCTACTCCACCAGAACCTATGCAAATAGGTAATACTCGCTTATCTGAGGCTGAGAGACAGTACAGAAGAAGGGAGGGTCTCTGTTTATACTGCGGGCTGAGAGGTCACCTACGTCTCAGTTGCCCTAATCGTCCGGGAAACGCTCGCACCTAAGTTCCCTTAGAGGACGGGCCTTGGGTGTTTCATTACTGTCCTCTATGCATAATAAAAAAGACCATAGGCTTCTGATTCCTGTCTCTCTAGCTTGGGAAAAGGGGTTTATTACTACGATGGCATTATTAGATTCTGGAGCAGCAGAAAGCTTTATAGACCAAACTTTCGCTAATAAGCATTGTATCCCATTCCAATTGAGAGATACACCCTTGGCCGTTGAGGCCATAGATGGTAGACCTTTATCTGAACCAGTAATATTCCATGAGACAGAACCCGTTAAGCTTACTGTTGGTATTTTCCACGAAGAGTTGATTTCCCTTCTGTTAATTTCCTCCCCGGCAGTCCCAGTGGTTCTAGGATATTCTTGGCTCAAGAGACACAACCCTCAGATTGACTGGGAGGGTGGAGAAATCGTTTCTTGGGGTATGGGTTGTAGGAAGGAATGTCTGCAGAGAGTTACTTCTGTTTGCCCCGTGAACTCTTATGCTAACACTTCTCAATCCACAGACGTTCAGATACCATTACAATATCTAGACCTCAAATCTGTATTTGACAAGGGTAAGGCGGATACTTTACCTCCCCACCGGTCTTATGACTGTTCTATTAAACTTTTCCCTGGTACTATGCCTCCCAGGGGTACGGTATACCCTCTATCCACCAAGGAAAACTTAGTTTTAGAGGAATATATCAAGGAGAATTTAGACAAGGGATTTATTAGAAAGTCTTCTTCTCCGGCGGGGGCGGGTTTCTTTTTTGTAGAAAAGAAAGACGGTACCTTACGTCCTTGTATAGACTATCGGGGATTGAACAAAATTACTATCAGAAATGCTTACCCTATTCCTTTGATTACTGAACTCTTTGACAGACTAAAGGGCTCGAGTATTTTTACTAAACTTGACTTAAGAGGAGCATATAACTTAGTGCGAATTAAACAAGGAGATGAATGGATGACAGCATTTAATACCCGTTACGGGCATTATGAGTATACCGTAATGCCGTTTGGGCTTTGTAACGCCCCGGCCGTCTTCCAAGACTTGATCAATGAAGTTCTTAGAGAATTCCAACATGAATGTGTAATTGTATATTTGGATGATATACTAATCTATTCTAGAGACATTAATTCACATCATAGACAAGTCAGAAAGGTATTACAGAAACTTTTACAACATGGATTGTATTGTAAATTGGAAAAATGTAGCTTTGACCAGTCTCAGGTAACTTTCTTAGGTTACGTAATTTCCAAAGACGGGTTTATGATGGACCCGACCAAACTAAAATCGATTTTAGATTGGCCTTTACCTAAGGGACTCAAAGCCATACAAAGATTTCTTGGATTTTCTAATTATTACAGACGTTTTATTAAAGGGTACTCCTCTGTTATCGCTCCTATCACTAATATGACCAAACAAGGAGCCGATACCAAAACCTGGTCTACTGAGGCTTTATCTGCTTTCGAAACGCTCAAACAGTCTTTTGCCTCAGCACCTGTATTAGTTCATCCTGATACCTCTCTACCCTTTTTACTTGAAGTTGATGCGTCTGAAACAGGGATAGGCGCAGTGTTATCCCAAAGACAAAGTTTAGATAAGCCGCTGCACCCTTGCGGTTTTTTTTCCAAGAAACTGTCACACACTGAAAGGAGATATGACATTGGTGATAGAGAACTTTTAGCTATCATTATGGCATTAAAGGAATGGAGACATTTGTTAGAGGGCACCGTCCTCCCAGTTACTATCTTGACTGACCACAAAAATTTATCGTATATGGGGGAGGCCAAAAGATTATCTGCCAGGCAGGCACGTTGGTCTATGTTCCTTACACACTTTAATTATGTGCTTACTTACAGGCCTGGTTCTAAGAACACTAAGGCAGACGCTTTGTCACGTCAGCACGAACCTACCACCTCTACAGAGGATACTTTGTTCCCTATTATTCCTGAAGTCAATATTATCGCCAACACCAATGTCAAAATACACTCTCCATTGCTCGCTGATATTCAGAACGAACAATCTCTTGCTCCCGAACGTACTCCTGTGGGCCGCTTGTTCGTGTCTCCCAAATTCCAAGTGGACATTATTCGCTGTTTCCACGATAGCAAGATCGCTGGTCACCCCGGCATCCACAAAACTTACTGCCTGATCTCCAAAGACTTCTGGTGGCCCGGTTTACGTAGGGATGTGGAAGACTTTGTCAAGGCTTGCAATGTTTGTGTCAGGAATAAACTTCCGCGGGATCTCCCTTGTGGTTTATTGCAGCCCTTAGTCGTTCCCAACAAACCTTGGGCTTGTTTGGCTATGGATTTTATTGTTGATCTACCAGCTTCCAATAGGCATACAGTTATCCTCACGGTCCTTGACAGGTTTACTAAAATGGCTCATTTTGTTCCCTTGCCTAAACTTCCTTCCTCCCCCGAACTGGCCGTGATATTTGCTAGAGAAATTTTCCGTTTACATGGTATTCCCAATGAGATTGTGTCAGACAGGGGTTCCCAATTTATTTCCCGTTTTTGGAGATCCTTCTGTTCACAGTTGGGCATCAAACTGAATTTTTCTTCGGCCTATCATCCTCAATCTAACGGAGCAGCCGAACGCACTAACCAAAAAATTGAGCAATATCTACGTTGTTTTGTTTCTGAACACCAGGATGACTGGGTCGGTCTGATTCCTTGGGCGGAGTTTGCTCACAACAACCTTGTTTGTGGTTCCACTCGTAATAGCCCCTTTTTCTTGAACTATGGCTTTAACCCTACTGTTCTTCCGTCGGTGTCTCCTTCCCAGGGTATACCGTCGGTTGATGTTCATATAGCCAACCTGAGAAAGTTGTGGGATCAGACTCGACAAATTCTTGAACGTAGTTCCGCGGTGTTTAAGTCACATGCTGATAGGCGTAGACGTCCTGCTCCTATTTTTTCTCCGGGGATAGGGTCTGGTTGTGTACCAGACACATTCGCCTGAAAGTTCCTTCCTTGAAGTTTGCTCCTCGTTACATTGGTCCTTACAGGGTACTGAGGAGGATCAACCCGGTTTCCTATTTGCTGGATCTACCTCCTACTCTACGCATCCCTAACTCTTTTCATGTGTCGTTATTGAAACCTCTTGTTTTTAACAGATTTTCCTCCCGCTCTACTCCTCCATCCTCGGTCCGTGTGGATGGTCAGGAGGAATATATCATCAAGTCCATCCTTGATTCTCGTATTTCTAGGGGGAAGCTGCAATACCTCATAGACTGGAAAGGTTATGGTCCAGAAGAGAGGTCTTGGGTTCCTGGTATAGACGTGCATGCTCCTCGCCTTCTACGGGCCTTCCACGTTCGTTTTCCTTCTAAGCCAGGTCCCATCCGCCCGGTGGGCGTTTCTAGAAGGGGGGGTACTGTCAGGGTACCTGTTGGTGATGTATCCAGGGAGGACATCCTCTCTGCTTAGGGGTTCCCTTCCCCTAGCATTTCGGCATATTTCGGCCGTTTTCGCGCCGGCCGCGCTAGCTCCTCCCCCTTTTATGACGCGACGGCTAGCGTCGACGTCATGACGTCGGCATTTGCATAAAGTGCCGGGAACCGCTATTCCGGACCTTTTGGGGGCGTGGTCTCTATTTAGGTAACAGGGTATTTAAAGGAAACCTTTACTACTGCTCATTGCCCTGTCGTGGTTCTAGCTTGCTAGTCACTCAGCGCGTTCTTTATCTTGTGTTTCCGGTTTTGACCCTTGCTTGTCTTTTTGTCCTGTTGTCCTCTCCTCTCCTTTGACTCGGCTTGTATCTCGCTTACCTGTCCTCCGGCTCCCTTGACCTCGGCTTACCTTTTGACTATTCTTGCTTTGTCCTTACGTTAGTCCGGCCATTCTAAGGTCCGGTATACGTACCTCCTTCTGTGCGCACTCTGCGTATTGGATCCCTGTCAGTTTCCTGACAACCGCTAATAATACTTTTTAAACAAAATAGTTAATCTTAAAAACCACCAAAACTTATATATGCTTCTTTGTATGTTGAAATAACACTAGCATAGGTACAAAAGCCTTTGCAGTTCATTGTTGAATTTCTATAATCTAAATCTATCTTTTATCGTTTTTGCTCAAATGAAAAAGCCTAATAGTGAACGTTCATATCACGCTTCCTTCATGCAAATCTCTTAACTCTAATCTCTTTTCTCACAGACTGTGTCACTTTAAGGTTAACTATGACCACTTCTGTCCCTTGTTCCTATACTCTCGCTAATCTTTTTTTTTTTATAATAATTTGATAATTTTAAAGTGAAAATACCATATCACCTAAAACAGCATTATTCACAGTTGTTGTGACTCACCCAGCTCATGACTGTGACCCATGATATCCTGGGCAGATTCAATCACCTCAGTCAGCCTAGGTCTCCCCTCAGCCTCCATTTTCTTCCTCTTTTGTTCAAACTTTCTGCTCTGCTTCCACAGCCTCTTCTTGCTTTATAGGAGATGGTTGAGAAACTTTCTGGATCTCTTTGTTCTCTCCTCAGGAATCCTGCAGGGGTCACTCTCACCAGACTTCTCTGTTTGCACTGGCCCCTTAATTGTTAGAGGATATGAGCCTGTGTCCACCTCCATTACTAGCTCCTCCTGTAGCTCAGCCCCTTCCTCACCTCCCTCATTCAGACCTGAAGTACCGAGGGCTGACTCTAACAAGCTTGCAGCTGTATCTCCACAGCTTAAAGCTTCTTGTTTCAATTGTTCTAATAGTACTTCAACTGTGCCAGACATCTTCCAGGTAAGAGCAGCAGCTCAGTTATATTTAAAAACGGCCAACCTTGATAGTTGTCTGGCACAAGCTGAGGTAAATAATTTGGTGCCTTTAAATTTTTACTCCTCATTTTCCCGCCGCTGCTTATCTCGTGCTGCGATCTACCAGTCAGGGATATTGCCCTGATCGCGACCTTCCCGCTCTGCTAATAGCGCGTGCTGCCCTGCACCTAACCCTCACTGCGCTCTGCTGCTAACCTAAACTCACCAATACGTACCCAACAGCCTCTGCTCCATCAAACCTCATGAGGCATGCTCCTTATGCAGTCCGCGTGCCCGACATTACAGGATTTAGAATGCCTCTAGTGGCTGCCATTCAGACAGACAGCCACAAAAGGCACTTCCTGTTTGCTAGGCGACTTTTGGTTGCCTAACTGATGCTGGACATTCTCACGCTCTGCATAAGGACATCAAGTGTCAGTAAAAAAAAACCCATAGAAAAGCATTGCAGCCATGTTAAATGTGCAATGAAAGGTTTCTAATAGAGAAGTCTTTGATTTGAGGATTTCATTTGCTCAGAAGTAGGTGCGTGCTCTGAGCCGACAACGGGAGGGGAAAAGAGAGGGAGACAAGAAAGAGAGGAAAAGGGATGTCAGGATATTAAAAAAAAAAATTAGCAGAGGGCTTCAATCGGTGTGGGAGGGAAAGGAGACCAGAGCTTGTTCATTTCAAGGGAAAAACAGTTTGACTGTTGGCAGCGTGCTGTGCTCTGGGCATCCTAAGTCACATATGCTTGAGGTACAACTAGTCTCAGGCACATAATTAACAATAACGCTGGATGTGCAATGTTTCTATCAGAAGCACTGTACATCCAAACTACTACCACCATGACCACTTCAGAAAGCAGAAATGGTCATGGTGGTTGGAGTAACACTTTAAGTGGGCTGATGGGGAGGGATGAGCACCAAAAGCCATGAACAGTTAGTTTCTTCTGCTTGATAGTAGAGCTACAGGCACAGTTTTAGTAGGTGTAAAACTCAGTGCTGCCCCAGCTCCTCCATGTCTGTGTGTGAGGCTGGACAGGAAATGGAAGGGATCACTTACCCCTATGATTGCAGACCATTTGCAATACCTTGGGTTGTCTACTATTGCAAATGGTATGCCATTATGGGTGTAAATTTCATTCCTGGGCTACTATAAAGTCCCAAAGGCAACGTAACCAATCTGGCAAATTTCAATTTCAAATGTAACGAGCTATATTTGACCCTGTAACTTCCCAAAACGCCATAAAACCTGTACATAGGGGGTACTGTTTTACACGTGAGACTTTGCTGAATACAAATATGTGTATTTTATTGCAGTAAAAGCAAACAGTATTATGACATTGACCGTTAAAATGTCATGTAGAACTAAAAAAATCTTATTTTCTCCCATTTTTTTCATATTAAATTATGTTTCATAGTTAAATATTTGATATTAAATGAAAGCCCTGTTTCCCCTGAATAAAATGATATATAATAAGGGTGGGTGCATTTAATATGAAAGAAGTGAATTACGGTTGGACAGACATGTAGCGCAAATGCCAGGTTTTGTTTACATTTTGTTTTGTTCACAACGTGTACATTTGGCTCCGTCCTTAAGGGGTTAATCTCAAATTTAAAGGGACACTACAGAGGCATAAAAAAATATTTTAGCTTGCCGAAATTCTTTGTGTCAAATGTCTCCTTTTTTTTTCCCCCTCAATTTTACAAAAAGTGAAGATGTGAATAGAAAGTGACACAATTATGTATAACTATGTTACACACCCACTGACTGCCAGACAGTTGGTACCGTTACGTCCTGGTTGTTTAGCTCAGTGGCACTAAACGCAATGGATAGGATATTACAACCAGCGCCTGCATTGCAAAAGACTGAGATTTCCTATTGGCAAGTCTGTGACTGGGCTGGGTTAGAAGAGTAGGGCTTTCAAAGCCTTTAGACGAGAGAGAGTGTTTGTTTTTTTAATCTATTCACCAATGGGAAGTGCAGTGCTCCTTTAACTCCTTAAGGACACGTGACATGTCATGATTCCCTTTTATTCCAGAAGTTTGGTCCTTAAGGGGTTAAACGCACAAAGCCTAAACCGAAAGAAATTCTTTATCTTAATAATTGGTTTAACTTCACTTAATCAAAACTCCCCATGTATCTGTCCCCAATACTAAATGTAACACAACACTATCATTTATATTACAACTATAACGTATCTCAAGCTTTTAATACAGTAAACAGACTGTGTTGATTATGTTAACCCCTGTCTAAACTTTACCCTCCCCCACCTTTTCCATAACTACTTTTACCATTATTGTTAACCCAGCATGCATACACTATGCATTCAAATACATAAGCAGAGTTACACACATAAGCAACATCTGCCATTATCAGATATGTTGTGTGTTTTTTTAGATATTGTTATATGTACCTATGTCCAGATAATTTTAAATGCCCTTTTTCTGTGAGGGAGGGGACTTATACAATTTTAAACGACCACTATAGTGTCAGGAAAACAAACTCGTTTTCCTGGCATTATATAACCCTTAGGAATCCCCCACCCTCAGGACCCCCCTCCCGCTGGACTAAAGGGGTTAAAACCCCTTTAGCCACTTATCTTTATCCAGCGCCGGGCTCCCTCGGCGCTGGTGACCTCTCCTCCCCATCCGCCGTCAGCTCCAGTTTGGAGCCGAATGCACATGCGCCGCCAGAGTCACGCGCGCATTACAATAGCCCATAGGAAAGCATTTCTCAATGCAATTTTTGCATTGAACGTTGTGGAAGTGCCTCTAGCGGCTGTCAGGAAGACAGCCACTAGAGGCTGGAATAACCCTGCAATGTAAACATAGCAGTTTCTCTGAAACTGCTATGTTTACATCTGAAGGGTTAAAACTTGGGGGACCTGACACCCAGACCACTTCATTGAGCAGAACTGGTTTGCGTGACTATAGTGGTCCTTTAACCCCTTAAGGACACATGACATGTCTGACATGTCATGATTCCCTTTTATTCCAGAGATTTGGTCCTTAAGGGGTTAAGCTTACAGACACCTGATGTAAATCTTGCCCTGTGGGATAGAACATTCTTTAAAAAAAAAAAAAAAAAATGTTAGCCAGCTGCCAAATGTAACACAAATGTATATAAAGGAGCTTAAACGCTCACTTTTTTTTTTATATAGAATTTTTTTTTTAAATTCATTTTTAATTAGCTGCTGGTCACTACCATGTATCCTCCCTAGAACCATTAAAAATGTAGTGCAGTACTTCAGTGCGATTAAAAATAAAATAGAATACATTCTTAAAGTGTCAAAGTGAATATTGTTCATATAATTAAACAATGTAGTGCTAAACAGAACAAACTTGACTCTGTCTGTAGACAGATGATAACTTCAATATCCAAATAACCTATAAAGTGCTTAATGCAATCACCATTCCACTACTGATAATCCGTGCAGTACAAAATACATCCAATTCAATATTGGTGCAAAATGCATCCACTTCAATATTATAAATTATAACCCACTGATGTTAATGTCTCTTTAAAGACAAGAGGGCTTAAGTGACGGGAGGGGTCTTATGGGTGGGGGACATATATGCTGTCCAGGCCTGGACTGACGAGTTAGCTAATCTTCTGGATGACAGAGTAAAAAAAAATTTGTGGGATGTCCCTGGACATGTTTGCTGGGCTCTCCCAGATTAGTCAATACATTATTGTATGTGGTCACTGGCAAACATCTGTACCGTGTATTTTACCTACAAGGCTTGTATATTTCAGAATCACTGAAGGAGGCTGGAAGTGGTTGTGGTTTTAACGTGCTCCTGTCATGAATGTAAGAATGTATAACTAAAAATTAAACTGTGTATTCTCCCAGGTGCATAGATAAGAATTCTACAGACAATCCTGCGTTCAACTTACATAGGTGGTTATTTCATGCCTCACAGGGTGCCCAAATTTCAGAAATCTGTTATAATGAATAGCGTAAATGGAATACCTTACAAGCAGATATGCTGATTAAACATTTTGGCTCCTGTTAGGAAAACCAGGTTACACTCCTTGCTCATCAAGTGGTCCCATCAATTGGATGGTTTTTAATTATGGCTCCACAATCAAGAACAAGGTTTCCAGAAAATTCATTTCACAGCTTGTTGACCAAGACTTTACATTGCCTGTCTCCTGATAGTGATTCAGGCTAGTTTATATATGGAATCATTGCTCTAGGAGGTGGTGGGAGTATAATGAACACATACCAGCAGTTTTTAGCAAATAACTGATGTTTAGTACAAACTATAAAGTGTCAGGTCCACTTTAGTGCTATATGTAAGCAGGTTTGTGCAATTTCTCTCCTATTGACTTATATTTTTAAGGTATAACTGCACATAACTATAATTAGGCAAATAGCATATCAGTGTATTTCCTAATGTGCAGTATTCATCCACAAAGTCAGACTTTGTTACAACGGTATAGATTGCAGAGATTAAAGTGCACCTGGTATGACAAAAAAACAACATAGAGAAACTACATATATAATAAAATCACATATACACTTTGTACTAGCCAAAAGCTTTTCTTTTGTGTAATTTTGTATATGGCACAGCATGGAGGTAGAATACAAAGATTTTGCCTACAAAGGCCTCTGTGTGCTGCTGCCCAACCCTTGATAATGCCACATCATCATTCTAATACGCATTAGGGGTATTGCCCTTGTAATCAGGGGTCAAATCCTGGGGGGAAAAGTGCAGCAATTCACCCAATATTTCCACACCCCAAAATGGGTGGAATGTCTTGTGTTTGTTTTGCTCAGCGCCAGCAAATTTAACCCCTTCAGGACGGAGTCAATAGTACACGTTCTGATCAAAACAAAACGTAAACAAAAACTGGAATTTGCTTATATGTCTGTTCACCCGTAATTCACCGCTGTCACATTAAGTGCACCCACACTTATTATATATAATTTTGTTCAGGAGAAACAGGGCTTTAATTTATCATTAATTATTCATATATTCAACATCAGTTATTATGAATAAAATTTTAGAAAATAAGATTTTTTTTAAAAAATTGTGTATTTCCGTCTAACATTTTAGCTGTTAATGTCATAATACTGTTAGGTATTACTGTAAAAAAAAATGCACATATTTGTAATCAGCGATGTCTCACGAGTACAACAGTACCCTCCATTAACAGGATTTATGGTGTTTTGGAAAGTTACAGGGTCAAATATAGAACGTTCCATTTTCAAATTGAAATTTGCCACATTAGTAATGTTACCTTTGAGACGGTGTGGTAGCCCAGGAATGAGAATTACCCCCATAAAGGCATACCATTTGAAAAAGTAGACAACCCAAGGTATTGAACGTGGGGTATGTTTAGTCTTTTTTAGTAGCCACTTAGTCTTTAAAGCCGCGACGGCATAGAACGCTATAACGGCGTTAAGGGGTTAAGGATATGCCTGCTGATGTTTTTTTAAGTCGTATACCAAAGAACAAAACAGGACAGGGTTGGCGTTTGTGTGAAAGGACATGTGGTGTACACACACAGACTGACCTGAACACACATACATGCAGTCACACCTCCTGCCCCATACAGAGTGCACACGCACCAGCAGATGCCTAGATGCCTACCTTTCCGCAAGCTTTCTCTTCTCTGTCTCCCCACGCTGCTCTCTGTGACCCAGGATGAAGTGAAATGTAATCACTTTCTGCCAGCACAATGCCACTTGTGGCCACACGAGGTAACTGACTGTCATTGTGCCGGGTCGACGCGACGACGTGGCCGTGCCCCATTGGTGTCGTCAAGTCAGGGGAAACCTCACTCCCATACTCGCCATAAAACAGACTCACTCACTCTGCATTCCCTAAAAGCCCCGTTCTTGGAGTTGACAATGATGATGTGTACGTGCGCACCTCATCACATTAACAACACGCATGTCTAGGCATCACATAGTTAATTATAATCCTTGCTCTCCTAGGGATATTTACACTCCCATAACCCATTATATGGTGCCATGTCAGGGTTTCCATCTGTTTAGTAAAATCTGAGAGCGTGTATCCTTTTGTTATTTCTAATTTATGTAACCTTCGCATTCCTTGACTATTCCACCTTCTGTTGTCCTTGACCTTTTGGCTATTCTCTAATTTTATCCTGTCTTTTGTAATCCTGACCTCGGGTAGTCCTGTATTATTCTACATAGCATTAAATCCATCGATTCTTAGGCCTGGTAATACACTTTTTTTCCCCAGGTGCATTTGTTTTACTTATGTTTTGCATTTTGCGTCCTGGTTTTCCATGACATTGACATCTAGGAGCCAGGTTGGCCATGACTTGCATTAGGGCTACCTACCTCACCCCCCTCCCCCTGACATTGAGATTACTGGGTTAGAGATATTTGATCTTCTCACCTGCTCATTAAGGTACAAAGAGCCCTATCTGGGCTGGTTCTGCCCTGCCCACATTTTTCTCCAGAAGTAACAGTGTTGCTGCACATAGCTCATTGTCAGTCTGGGGCCACTAACTGTAACCTAAGCTCACAGAGGGGATCCTCCGGTGTCTAGTGATATCTGAGGATCCTTGGTACTAGCAGGGATTTAATCCTTGTGGTACGTTTAATGCATGACTGTCTATGCGGTCAGCGGCATTAAAGCCCTGCAATGCTTAACAGCATAAACGGTCACAACCCTGTTAGTTTTACCACTGGATGGAGCCCTTTTTATGTTTACATAAGACAGTCAGTGGTTTGCACTCAAAGGTACATAGCAAGGAAAGTTGGGTTTTTGTTTTTTTGTTTGTTTTCTCTGATGTTAAACCTGCAGTCTATTGAAGCCACTTTCCCATAATAGGATTCACAGCCCAGTGTTCCATTACCATTACGGGCACTCATTCCCAGTTCGTCTTTCAGTCCTTGGTATTTGTTCTCATATGAATAAAAAAAATAATTTTTTTTTACATTCTTTATTTTTGTAGTGCAGCGGTATATATTCAGGTTAGCAATGACATATTGTATACACTTAATCTGTATAGATTAACAAGGAACAAAAAGGACATATTAAGATAAACTGAACTTTTTTAAAGTATATGAACAAGATAAATATACAAGTGGTAGTCAGTGTAGAACAAAATAAGCAAAATAATTGTCAGGCTTAGATAGCTGACTACACAAGATTAATGTAAAGGAAAGGGAAACCACCAATAGCCTTTTTCCTGGGCCCACTGTTTAAGACAGACAGAGTAAATCAAGCAGAGTTGCCATACTGGGCAGGAATAAGTAGATAAAGTGCATATTTATCCAATACCCATAGCATGCAAGCAGAGTCCAGGCAGGTATAAAAGTTGACAGAAGCCACCCTGTGTTCCATGTCTCACTGTAGCACTCCAGCTTCTATAGCCACAGGCTACGTCTCCCGCTACTAGTTAAAGTCTTTGAGATTTCCGGGGGTTATAATCTTTGTGGGCGTGTTGTCAGAGTGCTGCCCACTAAATCTACTTGTGTCTCTGTCCGGAGGTGATTTTCCAAGCTAAAACACTGTAATCAGGCTGATCCATGGGAACTAATAGAGTGGGTTGCTTCCTCAGATTGTGCCAGAACTGCTGACAGATGGCATCCACTGCGCTGAAGAAGCCCTCTTCTCAGTTCTGCGCCAGAGCTTGTACAGCATGCTTTGCAGTAGTGCTGCCATCGGCCATTTTAGATGGGTTTACATAGGAACCTTCAATGCACGATTCACCCTGCAGCAGCAGAAAGGTGAGTGACCACAAAATAGAAACCGTAGACTGCCCCAGATGGAGAGATTAGCTGCTTCCCTCACCAAGGAAACACCATGCTGCAATAAACTAGAAGTCGCAGCCACCAGACAGCTAGAATGATAAGATCAGGAACCCACTCCAAAGTGTTCCAAGGAGTACCAGACAAGGTTATTTCTGAATCTCTTTAAAATCAGGATTAGGCAGGAGCTCAAGTTTTCTGTGACCATCCAGTAGCGCTGCCCCATGTGCTTTCTTTTTCATGTTATGGTCACTGGACATTGCCACCTCCAACACGAAACTGGTTGTTTGGCCAGTGCTTGTTTTCCTGTCAGGATCTGGACGTTTTAATGGATCTTGGCCCTGTCATTTACATCTACTCTTTATGGCAACTTATATCACCTGGACTTGGGCAGGTATAACCCATTTTTGGTGCAGTAGGTTCTGTACAAAATTCCAGCAACTCTGTTGTGTTTCTCAGTGTATACTGTTCCTGCCAGCATCTTACACCCGGGCTAGCTCGCCCCCTTCTTAATAATATGTACTACAGCTTATTGGAAAGCTGTGATTGCATTCTAGTGTGGCTACAACAGAAAGGTTTCTCAATGAGCGTTTGATTGGTATATTCCTCGGCACAAAGACATACAAGCTTGCAAAGGCTGCAGACAGTAGATTTTTTCCCCATATACGCCCATAGAAAACATTCTGGATAAAAGATATGAGGGTTTACCATGTACTAAATTGTATAACATTGTAAAACACTCCATTAAAATTACTAATATTTTTTTTTTTTTACTTTCTAAAGCAATTGCTAAGGTTTTTGAATTTTATTTCCTTATTGATTATTTTAAGCACTGGAATATCTTGGCCAAAATTCTGTTTTATGACCTTGTTGACCTTATATTTCACTATTTGAGTTTATTGTAAATCAATGTATTGCAGTTCTTTATGACATAAAGAGAAAGTGAGCTACAAATTGATTGAGAAGAGAGAATATTCTCTGTCAAAGTACATATAACATTGAAGGAGGTGGTGGTGGTAAACATGTTGTAAACCAAATGTGAATGCTCTAGAACTATAGAGTATTAATAAATGATAATATAATTGTCAACATTGTCTCTATTCTATTTGTGTTACCTAACTATTGTCCACATATGGTGTGGTGTGGTTGTTTTTTTGTTTTTTTTCTTCTTATCTGTTCTAAATTATTGCTGGTTGATATACAGTGATCAGCAACGACATTGATACCACATTCCTCATATCGCACAGATCCCCCCTTCTGCTGCCAAAACAGCTCTGATGCATTGAGGAATGGACTCCACAAGACTTCTGAAAGTGTCCTGTGGTATCTGGTGCCAAGTCTTTATCAGCAGATCCTTTAAACCCTGCAAATTGCCTTAAAGCTTGAAGATAAGTGTCTGGAAATAAAAGCTCTCCTTTCTGGCTTTTTCCATTCTCTCCGTATTAAACCGAGAAACAGGTAAACCTTTCTCTTTTGGTTTTGAAGATGCATTTTCATTCTCAGTTTGTCTGGTGGAAATCCACATTAGATGATGTACCTCTCGAAAATTCAGAAACAGAACATTCTCCAGAAGATACATCTGACCTTGATGAAGATCTCCTTCTTTTGTGCATCTTTACGGTCTGTTCTTTTGTTGCCACTGGAACACTAGACCTTGCCAACTCTTTAAATGACTCAAATGTCTGAGCCAGATTTTCCTGAAACCAAAAAAGGAAGGTTTGCATATCCTTCTGTTTGCTCTTTTTAATTGATTCAGATGAACAAAGGGAACAAATCTTCTTCTTCAGCCCGTCTGGGAGAGGAGTAGCACAATCACTGGATGATAGGTGTCGCCATTTTCTCGTTGTTCCGTCAAGACGGGATTAGACATATCTGAAAACTTTAAAATAAATTAAATTAATATATAGTTAAAATAAAAACAGAGGTTTTTTTTTTTTTTTTTTAAAGATAGATACTTCCCAATCTCACCTCAAGAAACCTCAGAGCCATGGAGGGGGGTGCTTGTAACACAACAGGTCCACACTACACAGCATCTAGACTGATAGTAGGGTCTTGCACAGCTTCATTAGGCTTTGGCAAATTTTATTTTGCTCCAATTTTGAAATTCCGATCTGCACAAGGCCTCCCTGGCATGCGTTACACTGCTGTGCGCAGGCGAATGGCCTGCCACGTCATCAGCGCGACACTGGAAGCTCCATTTTGGTTTGCCTAAACATCCTCTTTATAAAGGCGGCTTACCCCAAGCGCTCCATAACAGTCCTTGTGCCCGAACTAGGCCACTCGGCTTTTCACCTAGGGAACTATCTTGTGTCTCACCATGTAGAGATAACTTTGTCCGCCCCATGCTGGAACAAGGAAGAACTGACCTAAGGGGTATGGAGGAGTTTTTACATACTGTGTGTTGTTGTAATATATTTAATTTTTTTAATTTTTTTTAAAAATTGCTTGTCCCAACATAGGAGTCACAATCCACTTGTGCTGCCACCATATGTTGGGGAAAAATACTTTTGTGTGGCAATTGTGTTTTCTGCAATGGCTATTAAAGGTACACTATAGGCACCCAGATCACTTCATCTCATTGAAGTGGTCTGGGTGCACTGTTCCTGCCCCCCTTAGTCCTGCAATGTCAAACATTGCAGTTTTAGAGAAACTTCAATGTTAGAAAAGGAAAAGTTCCACCCATCAACTTTGAGATATATATATATATATATATATATATATATATATGTGTGTGTGTCACATTAAATTTAAAGCCCTTTCTGTTTTTTAAACAAACGATCTATATAATTTGTATGGGGGCACTTGTATAGAAACCTTTTACATTAGGTTGGGACAAATCTATAGCTCATATTCCAGGTTTTGTTTTGGTTCAGAACATGGACATTTACTCCATCCTTAACCCCGGCTCCAAAAGCGGGTGAGCGACATAGCACGTCCATGCCGTCAGGGGACTTACCTGCTCGCTGGCGATCACGATGGGTGGACTTGCCTGGCATCCCAGGAAGTCCCCCTGCTGCCGATCTGGCCCTCCTGGGCCATGTAATCGCGAGGTCTTTGCGAGGACCTCACGATCACATGGATGGAATAGCCGTCCATAGCAATGCCAGCAGGGGGAGTACCTGGAATGACCGGCAGTACCCCTGCTGCCTGAAATAAATGAAAATAAAATGTTAAAAGCGTGTAAAATAAAATAATATATACTTAGATTATATATATATATATATATATATATATATATATATATATATATATGAGATCTAAGTACATATATACACATACATACACTAAGTGTATTTTAATATATATATATATATATATATATATATATATATATATATATATATATGTGTACAGTGGTACCTCGGTTTACAAATGAAAATAATGCCTCGGGTTACGATTTTTTTTTTTGCAATACGAAGCAAGTTTCCCCGTGCATGCTGGAGTCTGTGGGTAGCACGTGCCGTCGAGTGTGGAGGTGTTGGAGCAGTTTTTGCATCGAGTTTTGGAGCCATCCTCAACATTTTTTTGCAGTGGTTTGGGGACTTTTTGGGTGCATTTCTCAAGCGGTGGAAAGTTAGGGAGCTGAGGTTTGTCGTTTGTATGCCCTTTACGGTGTGTTCTGCATTGTGGATTGGTTTCCATGCCAGCTAATTTTTACTTTTTTCTGACCTCTGGAACGGATAAATTGGTTTTCAATGTATTCCAATGGAAACCATGTTTCGATTTACAAATATTTTGCAATAAGAAAAGTCCCAGAGAACACATTAAATTCGTAAACCGAGGTACTACTGTATATGTGTGTGTGTGTGTGTGTGTGTGTGTGTGTGTATATAATATATATATATATATATATATATAAAATTAATTACGGTCTAACTGTGAATCTCTGATTCAGAAACTCTTTGAAGATTTGAAACAATATAAGAAGAAACTGGTACAATTCAAAGGACAGAAACTTGACAAGGTAAACTCTGATTACTCAGAACACAGAGTATATAGATGGTTATCTGGCGATAATAGCCACCCAACTCAGAGACCATACAGACCTATGATTAAGAAGCCACTAGGCCCAACCATTAATTTTACATCAGGTGAATCAATGTCTGAATCAGAACAAGGAGCACCCATCACCTCTGTATCTACCTCATGAACAGTAACACACACAGATAACCAGGTTTATTTTTTAGACCCAGGCTAGGGCCTTACCAGGGAACTGGTCCAGAACACCAGAGATACAAGAAGCAGCAACAGAACAAAATATAATTCTCCCAGAACAAACGTACAAGGAGAGGTCAGAAGGGGAAGGCACACTGGACAGAGAGGCAGACTGGAAAGAGTTTCTGCCACCCCCACTCGGGAAAAACTTTTAACATCAGACATCGCATCACTTGCACCACTATACATGTTGTATAGCGCATCACATGCCCATGTGGCTTTATATATATATATCGGGAAACCCTCTAATGACCTAAGAAAAAGAATGTGAGGTCATCGCTCAGCGATACGTATCGCCTTGAACACCTGTTCTGCCAACACTCCAGTGGCACAACATTTCTTGGATGCTGCACACTCTTTACCGCTGTTCCACTTCATGGGCATTGACAATGTCCCACTATCCCCTAGAGGTGGTAACAGCGATGCACAACTTTTGAGAAGGGAGGCATACTGGATTTATACCTTGGGGACACTAGCCCCACATGGACTGAATGAGAAATATCCTTTTATATTGTTTCCTTCCCAGACGCTAATTGATTAGAACTAATTTCCCCGTGAACCTCAGCTTGCCCACTGTATCTTATGTATCTATTGTAGCAATTTATCTCCATGTGTTTCATTTTTATTGCTATATTGTTTGCTACATAACATTTTTATGCAATACTCGTATAATTTACATTGAAATTAATTATGCCTGTTTAATGTGAGATTCCTCCTTTTCATGACTGGAACAATCAGTGAATTATGTTCCTTGATCATTTCTGTTCTCACATAACTATCACCCCACTTCTCTCTGTCGATCCAGTCTTCTTTTTATCTGGTCTCCACTTATCATACGTTATAGAGCTAATTGTTTCTTTGTATATATTTTTTCTTCCCTTCACTCACATGGTTAAATTTGGTATGATGATGTAATCTCTGACATCACCAGTCTTGCTCTCACCTGTTCACCCTCCAATTATCTCACAGCTTGTGTGTGTATTTATATAACCGTTATCTGGTACTTAGCACTTGTCTTGAGAAAAGTCCAGGAGGACTGAAACGTTGATGTTTATTTGTGCTAAATAAAAGCATTTCTACTTTACTACTACAGTCTCCAGAGTGCACTCATCTTCTTTCCTATAATGGTAATTATATATATATATATATATATATATATATATATATATATATATATATATTAAAAATAAATAATTAAAAAATATGTGTAACTTTGTTCTAACTGTATTTTGATATTCATCTATATATTGATATCAAAATACACTAAGAACAAAATAATATGTATATGTGTGTGTATGTATGTGTGTGTATATATATATATATATAATTCTACATATATATTTATGTAATATTTTTACATAATTCATTTTGTTAATTACAATTTGCGGGACCTGCCTGACAACCCAGGCAGAAAGTCCAGAGGATTATATTTGCTAGCACTATATTTAACCCTGTAACTTTCCAAGACACCATAAAACCTGTACATGGGGGTACGGTTTTGCTTGGGAGACTTTGCTGAACACAAATATTAGTGTTTCAACGATTATATCATCAGTGAAAGTGACGCATTTTGCATTTTTCACACACAGCACTTACACGGACGATACAATTATTGTGATACGTTTTACAGTTTTGAAATGTTTGTGTTCAGCGAAGTCTCCCAAGCATAACTGTTTCCCTCATGTTCATGGTTTATGGTGTTTTCAAAAGTTACAGAGTCAAATATAAGGCCTGTGTTTCAGTTTTTTCACATTGAAATTCGCCATATTGGTTACGTTACCTTTGAGACCGTATGGTAGCCAAGGAATGAGAATTACCCCCATGATGGCATACCATTTGCAAAAGTAGACAACCCAAGGTATTACAAATGGGGCATGTCCAGTCTTTTTTAGTAGCCCCTTAGTCACAAACACTGGCCAAAACTGGCTTTCAGATTTTTTTTTTGCATTTTTCACACACAAACAAATATTAATGCTTACTTTGGCCAGTGTGTGTGACTAAGTGGCTACCAAAAAAGACTGGACATACCCCATTCGAAATACCTTGGTTTGTCAACTATTGCAAATGGTATGCCATCATATGGGTAATTCTCAGTCCTGGACTACCATATGCTCTCAAAGGCAGCGTAA